TACTTCATTTAGAACAGACCCTGGAGTAGAAACCTCTACTTCATTTAGAACAGACCCTGGAGTAGAAACTTCTACTTCATTTAGAACAGACCCTGGAGTAGAAACTTCTACTTCATTTAGAACAGACCCTGGAGTAGAAACCTCTACTTCATTTAGAACAGACCCTGGAGTAGAAACTTCTACTTCATTTAGAACAGACCCTGGAGTAGAAACTTCTACTTCATTTAGAACAGACCCTGGAGTAGAAACCTCTACTTCATTTAGAACAGACCCTGGAGTAGAAACTTCTACTTCATTTAGAACAGACCCTGGAGTAGAAACTTCTACTTCATTTAGAACAGACCCTGGAGTAGAAACCTCTACTTCATTTAGAACAGACCCTGGAGTAGAAACTTCTACTTCATTTAGAACAGACCCTGGAGTAGAAACTTCTACTTCATTTAGAACAGACCCTGGAGTAGAAACCTCTACTTCATTTAGAACAGACCCTGGAGTAGAAACTTCTACTTCATTTAGAACAGACCCTGGAGTAGAAACTTCTACTTCATTTAGAACAGACCCTGGAATAGAAACCTCTACTTCATTTAGAACAGACCCTGGAGTAGAAACCTCTACTTCATTTAGAACAGACCCTGGAGTAGAAACTTCTACTTCATTTAGAACAGACCCTGGAGTAGAAACTTCTACTTCATTTAGAACAGACCCTGGAGTAGAAACTTCTACTTCATTTAGAACAGACCCTGGAGTAGAAACCTCTACTTCATTTAGAACAGACCCTGGAGTAGAAACTTCTACTTCATTTAGAACAGACCCTGGAGTAGAAACTTCTACTTCATTTAGAACAGACCCTGGAGTAGAAACCTCTACTTCATTTAGAACAGACCCTGGAGTAGAAACTTCTACTTCATTTAGAACAGACCCTGGAGTAGAAACTTCTACTTCATTTAGAACAGACCCTGGAGTAGAAACTTCTACTTCATTTAGAACAGACCCTGGAGTAGAAACTTCTACTTCATTTAGAACAGACCCTGGAGTAGAAACCTCTACTTCATTTAGAACAGACCCTGGAGTAGAAACTTCTACTTCATTTAGAACAGACCCTGGAGTAGAAACTTCTACTTCATTTAGAACAGACCCTGGAATAGAAACCTCTACTTCATTTAGAACAGACCCTGGAGTAGAAACCTCTACTTCATTTAGAACAGACCCTGGAGTAGAAACTTCTACTTCATTTAGAACAGACCCTGGAGTAGAAACTTCTACTTCATTTAGAACAGACCCTGGAGTAGAAACTTCTACTTCATTTAGAACAGACCCTGGAGTAGAAACTTCTACTTCATTTAGAACAGACCCTGGAGTAGAAACTTCTACTTCATTTAGAACAGACCCTGGAGTAGAAACTTCTACTTCATTTAGAACAGACCCTGGAGTAGAAACTTCTACTTCATTTAGAACAGACCCTGGAGTAGAAACTTCTACTTCATTTAGAACAGACCCCGGAGTAGAAACTTCTACTTCATTTAGAACAGACCCTGGAGTAGAAACTTCTACTTCATTTAGAACAGACCCTGGAGTAGAAACTTCTACTTCATTTAGAACAGACCCTGGAGTAGAAACTTCTACTTCATTTAGAACAGACCCTGGAGTAGAAACTTCTACTTCATTTAGAACAGACCCTGGAGTAGAAACCTCTACTTCATTTAGAACAGACACTGGAGTAGAAACTTCTATTTCATTTAGAACAGACCCTGGAGTAGAAACTTTTGCTTCATTTAGAACAGACCCTGGAGTAGAAACTTCTACTTCATTTAGAACAGACCCCGGAATAGAAACCTCTACTTCATTTAGAACAGACCCTGGAGTAGAAATTTCTACTTCATTTCGAACAGACCCTGGAGTAGACATTTCTACTTCATTTAGAACAGACCCTGGAGAAGACACTTCTGCTTCATTTAGAACAGACCCTGGAGTAGAAACTTCTGCTTCATTTAGAACAGACCCTGGAGTTGAAACTTCTAATTCTAGCCGACATGTGTTTGTATTGAAATGAAGCTTATTCTTTATGTTATGGAACATTTATAAAGGAAAACGAATACCTGACTGGCCTTTTCTAATCTTAATCTTTGAACATAATATGACAGAAACATGAAAGTGTTCTTCGTCATATCTTGTCGTTTGACATTAACATACAGAATGACAACCCTGTTCATCTCCCCACAAAATTCTATGGGAAATGTAAGGACTTAAATTTCTCGATAATTAAATTTCCTTTTCCTGTTAATACGAAAAAGTCTCTCCCGCTTTTGGAGTTTACATGACGCGATTAATATGTTAGGCGTACTGGAGTATAAATGTTACTGCGGGGCCAGCTTCATGTTTCTTGACATTTAAGATAGATGTGCACTTCAAAAGTTTTTCTATCCGAAGTAAAATCCATGTTGATGAATTTCATGTAATCATGATCTACATTTCAACTATAAAAATACATGTATCAGTGTTTACCAACATTGATTACCTACCCATCTCCCTGGAGATCACGGTAGATATCAATCTAGAAACAGGTTCCGATTCCTCTCTGGAGATCACGGTAGATATCACTCTAGGTACAGGTTCCGATTCCTCTCTGGAGATCACGGTAGATATCAATCTAGGTACAGGTTCCGATTCCGTTGTTTTCGCTGGTTACTGACCTTGTATTTTGTGTGACGTTGAGTTCTTATTTTGTCCATTTCTGCTGACGCTGTGGTCTATATTTTGTTTTTATTTTAAATGAGCCTGTGCCGTTGATTGAGCTTTCCCGTGCTTAAGGTCACGTTTGAAACGGCTTTTGTCGATGCAACGCGTGCATTTATGCATACGGTGTTTATACCCGAAAATGACGTTGTGAACTGTCACAGAATACATTTATTATTTGTCGTACCCTCATGATAAAATTTGTTTTAGTTTGAATGTATAAATCCTTATCGAAATGTGTGTTTTCAATTATCAAACCAACAGTTTCTGTACGTTTGTTTTATATTTCACTTTTTACCTATGCATAATTTCCTTTTACCATTAGTATACGTTTTTGGAGTTTCTCTTGGTTAAAGATATCTTCCCATTTTGAGGTCACTACCTCCATCTTGATCTTGTGTTTCGTGTGATGTTTAATTCTAAGATTGTCCTTTTCCGCCGACTCTGTGGTATTTGGTCTATTTGTCTTTACCTCGCACATTACTACTGGAAAAACACACGTTATCATATTTGCTTTATCATGTTTGCCTTTGAATCACATTATCATTGTTTGAAAGTAGTTTTTGTTGTAAACACTGACGAAATAGTTTATCGTTCAACATTTCGCGTCTATACAGAGAGTAATTATTATCAGAACAGGCCTTTTGGTAGAAACTGGTATTTCTGGCCGACATGTGTTTCTATTGGGATGAAGCTGATACCTTATGTAACGAAACATAGATAAGGGGATACAAATATTTTCCTGGTACATTTTATTGATGTTTCAACATGACATTAAAGAAACCTTAAAGTGTTCTTCGCCATATCTTGACGTTTGACATTTACATACAGTATGATAACACTGGTCATCTCCCCACAACAGTCTATGGAAAAACGTGACGATAACAATTTCACGACCATTAAATTTCCTTTTACTTATTAATAACACACCGTGTATGCAGTTTACATGACGCGGTTTATATGTCAGCGTACTGCAGAGGTAGTATTATGTTTCATGACATTTAAGATAGATGTGCATTTCACAAGAGTTTTCTATACGAGGTAAAATATATTTTGTGGATTTGGTTATGTCATCATGATCTGCATTTCAACTATAACATATCAGTGTTTACCAATATTTCAATTTGTGAACTAATCGATAGCCTTCACACTTTTTAGGAACCACATGTAGCGCAGTAAATGTTTGTTTCGCTTCCATTGTTTTCACTGGTTCATGGTGTCCTTCGCGGTTCCTGTCATTGTCTATTGTGCTGACGTTGAGTTCTGATATTGTCCATTTCTTCTGATGTTGTGGTATCTATTATTTTTATCAAATTATTATGTGACGTTGGCTGAGCTTTCCCGTGCTTAGTTTGGCATCTGGAATTCCTTTTGTCGGGACAATGTGTGCATTATTTACTGTGAACTGGTCTCAGAATTCACTAAGTGTTTCCGTACTCTCGCGATGGAAGCAGTGTTGTTTCGAAGTAATCGATCTTTGATGGAATATGTGTCTTTATAATTCTAAAACAAATTGTTTCTGTCCGTTTTGAATTATTGTTTTATATATAACCTTTGAGCAATGCATAGTATGACAACTTGTGACTTATGCATTTTGCCTTTGGTAAATGATGAATTCCCGGTCGCTACCTCCCTTCTTGATCTCGTTGTCCTTTTCCTCTGACACTGTGGTATATTTTGTTCTGTTTGCTTTTACCATACATACTAGGGGGAAGTCATATTTTTGCTATGGTGTCACATCTATCAATGTTTGAAAGTAGATTTTGTAGAAACCACCGACCAACAGAGTTTATCTGTCACCATATCGCGTCTATATAGATAGTAATTATAATCAGAACAGGCCCGGAGGTAACTCTAGCCGAGGATAAATCAATGTCTAGGAATTTTTACATGATCACTTATATCCTTGACGACCGGTATATTTGTTTCTCGATTGAGGGGTATATATCATTCCAGGTATCACATAACACGTGGTATAGGGAATATTTATTTCGCTTTTGTTTTTTTCACTGGGTCATTTGTATTGTAACCCCGACATTGTCTTTTGTATTGACCATGTGTTCTGATTTTAGCCTTATTCTCTGACGTTGTGGTAAGTTTTGTTTTATTGGTCGCTACCTTGCATAAAGTATTGGGGAAAGCGTTCATTTATTTTGCTGACGTATCACTTCTTAAATGATTCATTGTCAGTAAATTATCAAAAGTTGCCTTGCTGCTTCAATTCTCAATATTGTTTGTCATCAATATATATAACACTAAAACATTTTGATATAGAGAACGATTTATTTCATTTTATATAAACGGAATTGGTACGCATAGAACATAAGGTACAGCTACTGTACAAACAACATGGACCAATTAACACACGAGTTGTTCCCCTTTCTTATTGAACTCATAATTTTAGGAATTAAAGTAATTATTTATATATATATAGATATAACGAATTGTATATCCACTCATCCAAATATGATGCGAGAGTGAAATGACGTCGGACGGAAAAATGAAGTACAGTCTATCATGTATGGAATAAGAAGACGCCATGGGCAGTACCATTGGAAGCGAAAGATTCGCTAGTACCATTGCTGGTTTATGTTCCGAAACGAAAACAGGCAGTACCATTCGTTAGTACCATCGCTAGCTTTTATTCCGGCAAGTAGTCGGAACCATTTGCCGCTAAAATATTTGTTGAGACGTATTCGTTTAGCATATCTTATTATATCATATTTATTGAAAATCAAAAGTCTTTAAATATAGGTTATTTGTCCACAGACTCTTTTGCCTGAAGCGGAACAAGGATCTCTCATGTAATTTGAGATACTTTGGATTATACCTTTCCTGACAACAAGATATACATGATGAAATTTGAAATATTACGACACGTGATAAACACTAAGGACGAGGTGAACATACTGAAGACAACACATTAGAACACTAATAGATAACAAGGAAGACACACGGATGACACCGCTACAAAACGTGAACATCGGTAAGTAGCGGAAGGTACAAAAACCAACTGTAACGTCAATCAGGTTAATACAATCGCCACACATGAACATAGGTAGCCGCGATGGGTATTCGAAGTGTGATGTCACGAAAGCCAAAACCAACGCCACTCGTGGACAGAGGGGCATACGTCTGTGACGTCATGCAGGTTAATACCATAGTCACTCGTGGACAGACGGGCATACATCTGTGATGTCATGCAGGTCTATACCATTGCCACTCGTGGACAGATTGGCATACACATGTGATGTCACGCAGGTTAATACCATCGCCACTTCTGGACAGATGGGCATATACCTGTGACTTCTTGGAGGTCAAAACCATCGCTACTCCTGGACAGATGGGCACACACCTGTGATGTCACGTAGGTCAATACAATTGACACTCGTGGACAACGATGGATTTAAACTTGTGACGTCATGCAGGTCAACACCATCTCCATACGTGGTAATCGGTAGCCAGCGATCGTTAACAAATTGAGCTGTGATATCACGTTAATCAATGTAATTGCCATATGTAGACATCAGTAGGCAGCGATAGATACAAAAACCAACCGCGATGTCATACAGTTAAACAGCCAATGGAATGAGATAACTTACTTTGATTTTAAGAATGTTTACTTTGATAACGAACATGTTTTTACAACATCATACAAAAACATATTTACAACAGACGAATGCAGTTCGGACTTCATACATATCATACTTTGATGCATCCACAATTTTGCGACGCGTCGGTCAAATGTACATAGTGCTTAAATCTTTAAGTGACCAACCTTTCCGTCGGCCTTTTATACATATTTATAGGCACGACATCATCTCTCACATCTGGACCACAGAACAGTGCGAACTCATATCGTGTTTTTGTCACAGAATTTGGAATGGGTCTAGCTTTTTGCGTTACAATACTGTATTGGGAATTAGGATCACGTTCTGGGTCACGGGAATGGGAGCTGAATGTATTCTGTTAAATAACAGTGGAAAATGATATAGCATTTTCGGGAATAGATCATGATCGCGAATGTTAGTGTAAGTGTTCCATTGAGGGTGCCGAAAACATGTACTCGTTCTGAGCACTTCTATGCCTTCTAGTTTTGGCGAGTGTGGATTAAATTGTTCATAATGTGTTGAGTTCTGCCTGTTCCCTGTTCTTTTTCTCGTATCGACTTTGGTTTCCGATTTTGTCCTTGTGAAGTTATGCTTTGACTGTTTTGTTTCTGTTGAAATGTACACAATAAGGCCACTGCGGAAATATAGTGTCATACTATTAAAATGTTCAAGGACGAAGAGAGCAGAAATCAACGGTTACTATTTGATGCTTTCTCTGGATAATTACATGCCTATTATGGGAGTTATTTAGGATATAGTAAGTGTATCCATACAATCAGAAACAGACACGTTTTGGCATGGTTATGTGAAGTTACAAATACACATTGCTATAAACTGAACAGAGACATAACAAATCGTCCCAGTATAAACATCTACCCGTCTATCGCTTAACGTGTAATTGGGAAACGTTAACTTAGTGATGGACAGACCATCTATTATAACTTAGTTATGATGAACAGTATTGCTTTAGAAGGCATGATAGGACATTTATAACTACTCAGAAAACTAAACATAAAGGTGATGTGATTAGAAAAAAAGAACAATAAACGTGTCGTAAAATATATAAACAGAAACTATACCCATTTAAACAGGCGGACACTCATACTTATCCTCCCTTACTTATTTGTTAACAAAAAATGACAAATACTCTTACATGTGCATCCAGTAATAATGAATACAATGGCAAATCCTAATCTCTGTCCTTTTAACTTGTTTATCAAATTAATACTCGACACATGATTGAATAGTAAGTAGTGACTTATAAAGCCGTTCACAATAAATACTTACATCTGCGTGATTCCGTAACATAAAGGAATGAATGCGCGTGCTTTACATGGTAATGCATTCGCCTACGTGTGGCTTTTTTCCATTTTTTTTTTATCTTTGACTTCAACACTTCTCTCTACATAATTATTTTAAAATAAAATCAACATAGGTTTTTCTTTCTTTAAGGATTTTTCACTAACCACACTGTTTGTCTCTCAATTTCACTAATACCAAGTCTAAACACCAGATCCATGGTACTTGTAGCTTTTCTGTTTTAGGTGCCATCTTAATCCGTGAACCTCATCGAACACTTACACTAGTAACATAACTGTCTGGTGTGGTATAGAAACAACCACCTTCGACCAATGATGAGTGTTACGTTGTTAAAGAAAAAACAAAGAAAAATTAATGATAATATAAAATGTTCCCGGTCTATTCAGTGTAATTACACAGTCGAGTTATCTTACATCCATAATTGACATGATGTCTCACTAGATACATAGTACACTAGCATATTCATTTTCTCATACATATTACACAGACGCTTTTCCTAAGCCTCTCGTGGTCTTCATCCATTATGACAATTGTTGAAATTAATGTTTTCAATCATGACACGTAAACGTAAAATGTGAGTTGAAAGTAGTTAAAATTCTCGACATAAATTTACCAAAAATTAACACCAAAATTGGATCAAAACGATAATTAACCATTTGTATGGTTTTACGATAATTACACTCAAAAATGTATTTTCTCCAAAAATAAACCGATGATAAGCAAAGGCTATTTAGATTATGATTGCTGTACAATGACAAACAATGCTGCTTTTAACAGCAAATTAATGAATATTTAGCCACGAATATTACAAACAGAGCGCCAGTACCGTTAACGTATAATACACGATTCTTATACACAGGACATATACAGAGATTTTACCGTATAATACACGATTCTTATACACAGGACATATACAGAGATTATAACAGTGTATTGAACATGAAATCATGATAAGTAATATGTTTGTTTCTAATTGTTCAAACCCGCTGAATCATAGATAGAAACAGTAAGTAGTAACGATCTATTTTTAAAACAGAGATGGAAAAGTGGAACACAGCAAGTAAATGCCTACCAACCATTTAGGATGTTTATATCAAATCTTCACGGATTTAGGATCAACGTCCTTGATTATTTGAAACATAAACAAATCTTCTCGCATTAAATAACGACTTTCTATGTTGTAAACTTTCTAATGAATCAATATCAATAATTTAATAATTTCAACAAAAATGTACTGTTTAAGTTGTTTGGAAAATAAGTCATCGAAATTCGTTTTTTTGAATCAGCGTGGTTTGAACAATTAGTCACGTGATGTAATGAAGTACCCGGAATGTACGAGATTTCTGCTACGTCTACTTTTCAATCGTTTTGTCATATTGTCAGGATCCTGTAGCACCATTGTGGTTTGTTTCGTGTGGAAACAACACTAATCTTGATCAGTGAAGCTCTTTTCCAACTTAATACAATCTCGAAACACTTCGGCCGATTCATTCATTCATTATAATGGTTGGAAGAATCTGCAATCCAACGAGGCACTCCGAACGGTAGCAGTCTTGAAGAGCATTCGAAATCGAGATGTCAACTAAACAGAGCGGTTTCCTCCCTTTGATTACTAAATGTCTGCCACAGCTACATACACGATACCATACAGTTACTTCAGTTAAATATAACTTGCATATTTCTTGGCTTCTTGAAATGTAATTTGAAAAAAGAAAAAATCAAACGTGAAAGACTGTAAGACGAAACGTTTGTTTATAATACCATCAAGTACCTTTACAGCATTTTAATGAACAAGTTAGTAGAGTTGGTTCACAAAAGAAATGTAGTTATGAGGGGATGCCTGGGAATAAACCAATCCAAAGCTATAGAAGGTATTACGGTTAGTAGCAGTGTGATTTAAACAAGTGGTTTACACTTGCCGGGAGGATACGCGCGTCTTATACTACACTATCGCTCTACATCTCCGTCATTACATCCTCCATTTGAATTGTGGGTAATGTACTCATAATTAGAGAACACGTGGGTAACGTTGGTGCCGTGTGCATTCTTTGAAGATGTCGTTTCTCTCGTGCAACCATGGTAACCGATAGTTTCCGATTGTAATTTTTATAAATGACACTATCTTGCGATCGTTTCACCACTTTGATGCACTCTAGATTTTTCGGTGAGTGTCTATAACGCGGTTCCATTGGTTGAAGTATCCGTATACTGTCCCACTGCTTGAAGAATAACACCACAGCTACAACCCAAATGGCTATCAGGATGAGGAGGATGATGGCCTCCTCCGGGTAAATAGAATTACGGGCCAGGCGCAGGTAGTTCTCTGGAACAAACAACGAACACAAAATAAATTCTCTGAAACACATGAAATTAGTACAACAACATGTTTTCTGGAACAAACAACGCACACTTCCATTAACTATAAAACTGATCACATGGAACACATGGAATTAGGATAACAACTAGTACTCTGGAATGAAGAACAAAATTATAGAAGTATAGCATTAACTCTTTTGAAGACACAACCCAATTTCTAACTCGCTTGAATAGACTATATATATCTAGAAAAATAATCGAGCTCTTTTGATCACACGAAGTATATATATACATCTGCAGAGGAACTGGACGGAGTCAAACAACTCTCCAGAACACACAATATATACATAAAGGGACACACAACGCCTAGCTGTATAAACACCCAAACTCGCGCGGCAACGATAGTTGTAATGGGCAAGGATTACAGAAATTATTTTAAATTGATCTATATGTAGAATGTTAGTTTTGGTATTGGGCAAGGATTACAGAAATTATTTTAAATTGATCTATATGTAGGATTTTAGTTGTATAGGGCAAGGATTACAGAAATTATTTTAAATTGATCTATACATGTAGGATGTTAGTTGTATTGGGCAAGGATTACAGAAGTTATTTTAAATTGATATATATGTAGAATGTTAGTTTTGGTATTGGGCAAGGATTACAGAAATTATTTTAAATTGATCTATATGTAGGATTTTAGTTGTATTGGGCAAGGATTACAGAAACTATTTCAAATTGGTCTATATGTAGGATGTTAGTTGCAAGAAAGACTGAAACAATTTGGGATTTAAAAAGTATACGTTGTTTTAGGAACGAGTGATTACGTGAAAAGCGTATTACAAATATTTCTCAAGGACACGTCTATATCAAATCTGAGTTTTAGAGATGGCTGTTTCAGAATTGTCAAGTTTTGTTGGATAAATTAAATACACATAGTTCTGGAAAGTATTCTTCAACCAACAGAATAGTATGAGCATATCTAAACGTGAAAGAAAAGGCTCGGGCAGGTATCTAATGATCGGGCATTTATCTAATGATTGGGCAGGTATCAAATGATAGGGCGGGTATCTAATGATCGGGCAGGTATCAAATGATTGGGCAGGTATCAAATGATAGGGCAGGGATCTAATGATCGGGCAGGTATCAAATGATTGGGCAGGTATCAAATGATAGGGCAGGTATCTAATGATCGGGCATGTATCTAATGATTGGGCAGGTATCAAATGATAGGGCAGGTATCTAATGATCGGGCAGGTATCAAATGATCGGGCAGGTATCTAATGATAGGGCAGGTATCTAATGATCGGGCAGGTATCAAATGATTGGGCAGGTATCAAATGATAGGGCAGGTATCCAATGATCGGGCAGGTATCTAATGATCGGGCAGGTATCTAATGATTGGGCAGGTATCAAATGATCGGGCAGGTATCAAATGATAGGGCAGGTATCTAATGATCGGACAGGTATCCAATGATCGGGCAGGTATCTACATGGTAAATAGTTGGGTATAATGTGGAAGAGTTAACAGATTGAACGGAAGTTATTTTAGATAATGTTTGAAAATAAAGGTTCTCACGAAGTGCTTCAGACGTATATAAACAAACATTCACTTCATTGGGTTACTCATTCGCTGAAAATGGGAAGTTAATATCCTGCTGATATGCACAAATATTCAATGAAAAACTAAATCAACACAAATGTGTATGACGTCTAAACACGTGAACCTCTCGTTCTACTACTAATATTATTGGAGGCGTTGTTTTCTTAGTACTAAAGAAAGGATTTTTTCCATTATGATTTTTGGGATATTCTTGCGGACATAACACAATCATCTAGGCAATGAGAACATTGTTTGAATATTTCATTCACAATTGGAAGAAAATGAAACTAAGTGAGTTAGACTGTAATTAAACGAAATTTCTTGCTAAATGAATGTAAAAGCAATGGATAGTTAAATAGACATGCAATATGTCTCCCAGCAAACAACCAACTAGACTATTTACATCGCTACTTTTTTATCAAGGCAAGTAGTAAAAACAGCTTCTTCCTATTTGCCATGTTGAGTCGCCCTTACTGCCGCTCTGCTAATGGTGATGTGACACTCGGCGAATGTTACAAACTCACGATGTCCTTGTACAGTATAAAAGTGTGTCAAGCATAGCTCAGTACCTCAAGCCGGGATCAGGGTCGTTTCTCATCAATCCATATTCTACAGAACCAGCAGGAATCTCCTAACCCCCACGAGGTCGGAAGATTGTCTTTAATGCCTTCGTGAGTCTGAACAGTGTTTTAATGTAAACAATCATGAGAATTGAGTTTGCAGAGGGCAGATATAACTAGCACTGTAGGTTATATCTATCTGACCATCTCGGCTTGGGGTAAGGATCTAGGGATCTACAACCTTTTAAAAGCTGTATCACAGCTATATTTCATGAAATAATAAACAAGGGTGCAAGAAAATAATCGGTGTTACATCAAGTAATTGTATTGTCTAGCGTCACGTGATAATTATAATATGACGTCCTGTCAACATTGCATATAATGGAGACTGGAAAACACTGAACGTATCGGGTTAGTCACACCAAACTGCATTATTTACTCATAATTCAATTAACCTGTCTAAATCAATTTACCTGTCTAAATCAAAAATGAAAATCATATGGTAAATTATAAATCGATATGGAATAAAGATGATATTTTATGTTGCAGCGAAAAGTTGTACCGTTATGAATTGTTCTTTTGCGATGTATCGGATATTTATTTCACAACACTTCAGACACGACATTTCATTCGTTTTACCTTAAGAAGTATTGATGCGACTTAAATGGACGTAACGGCCGTAAGCAAAATATGTATGCTTCGTTTGGCTTTCTTGATCGATTTACTAAATTTTTAAATAGGTTTTCCTGAATTCGTTAGATTTATCCTTCGAAGTCAGGTAATTTACATGCCTTGTCCATGCCAATGTACTATAGACCTTCGTGCCACATCGCTATAACAAGACATATTTCGGGTTTTTTAACCGGTTCGATATCAGGTATTCCAGGAAAGATTATAAAACAGTTTTGAGAAACATTATGTCAGTCTCATTTGATGTTACATCACCAAGCTGAGGAACACTAAGACTCACGGACATTGAGTTTTGTTATGATAGGTAAGCAATATAACTTTATGATGATAATAAAAGAATTCACAAGACTTTGAAGCAAAATATGACGTCATAGACTAATGGTGGTTACGTCAACGTCTAGAATTTTCAAATGTTTTCAGTGTCTTCAGAATAGATCAACTGTTCGGAAACTCTTTTTAAATGCCCAGTTAATTTGCAGATATTTTGACAAAATCATATATCTGTGTAGTGTTTAATACGGATGCTATTGTTAAAACGTACACGTGCAGAAATTTAAATTAATCGTCTCAGGGCATTACCCTAAAGTTTGTCGCGATGTCGCTGTTAACGCTGGGTTAACATCTTATAAAGCTGACATGCTAGTCTCGTTTACACAGCTGCTTTTAACGGCAACAACAACAGTGTGTGTTTTTATCGAGAGTAAAGCTAACAGGGAACCTATTATGATTGTATCTTATCCAGTAATCTATTTTGTTATCCTAGCAATATCGTACATGTTCCATTTGCTTACACAACGTCTGGTGCAGCTGGGACATGCGATTATATTTACGGAAACCGTAACAACAGTAAGAAGTAGTCTTCTTCGGAAACATTTCCTGATGTGTAACTTATCCGTATCTCTACAGTCTTTTTAAAACGTATTGACGTGTTAATGTATTCTTTGTTCATATTTTGCCCGAGTTTCATCGATTTTCAGTTCGAATTACGGTCATGCCTGCACTTCGGTTCAGGCTCTTGTTATTGATTTTGATGATGTTCTCGAAACTTTACTAAACCTAAATATTTGATCTTCAAAAGTGTTTGATGCTCACCGGTAATTGATACGTAGTTACCCGTACTCATATGACCCTGGCTGTTGTGTCTCCTTAGTTACCCGTACTCATACGACCCTGGATGTTGTGTCTCCCTAGTTAGCCGTACTCATACGACCCTGGATGTTGTGTCTCCCTAGTTACCCGTACTCATATGGCCATGGCTGTTGTGTCTCCCTAGTTAGCCGTAATCATACGACCCTGGATGTTGTGTCTCCCTAGTTAGCCGTACTCATATACGCGACCCTGGATGTTGTGTCTCCCTAGTTAGCCGTACTCATACGACCATGACTGTTGTGTCTCCCTAGTTACCCGTACTCATATGACCCTGGCTGTTGTGTCTCCCTAGTTACCCGTACTCATACGACCCTGACTGTTGTGCCTCCCTAGTTATCCATACTCATTCGACCCTGACTGTTGTATCTCCCTAGTTACCCGTACTCATACGACCCTGACTGTTGTATCTCCCTAGTTACCCGTACTCATATGACCATGGCTGTTGTGTCTCCCTAGTTACCCGTACTCATATGACCCTGGCTGTTGTGTCTCCCTAGTTACCCGTACTCATATGACCCTGACTGTTGTATCTCCCTAGTTACCCGTACTCATACGACCCTGGCTGTTGTATCTCCCTAGTTACCCGTACTCATATGACCCTGGCTGTTGTATCTCCCTAGTTACCCGTACTCATACGACCCTGGCTGTGGCGAGGACGTTAAAACCAAAAAAAAAAAAAAAAAAAAAAAAGGGAATCTACGCTTTGGGAACTGCGTTTTCCCGGCATGACTAAAAACACGTGGGACAGGGATACTTTACCTCTCTTAACATCATTACAGAGACCATTCTGAAATTGGAAAAAAATAATCCTAAATCACATTTTGACAAATTTACATACCATTTGTGGAACCTTTCTTAATATTTTCGATTTATTGTTCACGGCTAAGCTACATCGCAGTGGGTTTTTAGGTCACCTGAGCTTTAGCTCAAGTGACCTATTGCTATCCGTTTTCGTCCGTCGTCGTCCGTCGTCCGTCGTCCGTCGTCCGTTAACATTTTACATTT